GTGCTATGCCGATCCGAAGCCAGGATCCAGGAACTTCTTCTGGGTCTCCCACATGTGTGCAGGGTCCCAAGGCTTTGGGCCGTCCTCGACTGCTTTCCCAGGCCACAAGCAGGGAGCTGGATGGGAAGTAGAGCTGCTGGGATTAGAACCGGTGCCCTTATGAGATCCTGGTGCTTTCAAGGCGAGGACTTTAGCCGCTAGGCCACGCCGCCGGACCCGATACACAACATTTTAAAAGATTTTCAGAGATGGGGGCGGAGGCAGGGAGGCAGATCTGTCATCTGCTGGTTCATTACCTTGAATACCTGCAGCAGCCAAGGCTGGGCCCCGACACAGCCGGCAGCCAGAAGCTTCATCCTGGTCTCCCCCACGGATGGGCCCAAACACTTGGTTCATCACTGTTGCCTTCTGGGGCATGAATGCAGGGCGCTGGATCTGAAGCAAAATGGGCTGCCGGCGCCACAAGAGGCAGCTTAGCCCGTGGCACTACAACACCAGCCCCACCCCCGACACACATTTCCCACGAGCATTTGAAGACCCCTCCCGTCGTCCAGTATTGGGATCGTGGTGGTTCGGATCCGTGCTCTGCTGTCCTCTGGGGATGCCATAACAAGAGAGCCACAGGGCATGCCGCTCCGGGTGGGTGGGTGGGCGCGGGGTCCAGCCGGGCACTCGCAGGCTTTGTCTGGGGCTGGGACAGACCCGCAGGAAGCAGGCCAGCTCGCCCCCGCCTGCCCCTCACCCTGCAGCACCTGTGAGATTCTGGGGTTCTGACGCCTTGCTTCAGTCCAAGGCCACGCAGCCCAACCTGCCTCAGGCCTGTCCTCATGCCAGTATCCTGTTTTGTTCTAGAATTTCCTCTTGTCTAGACGAGTTTCCTCGGTGTCCCGTCATGGTGTCCACCTGGCGTTTCGGGAGGCATCCCCGTGCTGCTCGCTGCGGTGTCCCTGGCGCATGCAGGGCGGGACGTCAGTGACAGTGTTCCCCCGGGCGGTTCCGGAAGACGGGCGTCTGGCGAGCGTCTAAGGCCCTGAGATGCCACGTCCCATGTCGGAGTACCTGTCTCTCCTCTCTCTGTAAGTCTGCCATCCAAATAAAAATAAATACATCTTTTAAAAAGACATTTTAATAAGTAAAATTTCCAGACACTTTTGGCAGCTCCGTGGCATTTCCGAGCTGCTTGCACTGCTAACGTTTCGAACAGGCGGGCTTCACGCAGGCCCAGCGGTAGCGGTGGACTCACTTCCTCCTTCAGCTCCCGGCAGTTTCTCACCGCAAGCGTTTGAGGCTGTTAGTGGTGGCGGGCGAGTGTGGCATTATTACATCTCACCAGAGAAATGAACTTTGAGCCTCTTCCTCGCTACTATTTGAGACTCCTCTCTACTGTGACCAGCACCCCTGCCTCGCTAAGCCAGCACCTGCTTGACGCTTGTCTTATTTCGTCATGGTGCTGCCATCCACTGGCTCGCACGCCAGAGGCCTCGAATCTGGACCCCCATCTGTGCGACAGAGGCCCCGGCACGCGGGCCGTTACCCAGGCTTCCCCAGGCGTGAGCAGGAAGCTGAGCAGCCGGGACTTGAACCAGCACTCAGGTGTGTGGGGCCAGTATCTGAAACAGCAACTGAACCCATCCCACCACGGTGCCAGCCCCACCCAGAAATCAACGCCAACATTTAACCAGAAACCCCTGGAGACTCACGGACACCTTGCCGCAGCTTTCGTCCTGACACACCCAGCGCTTGTCATTGCCGCTGTGTTCACAAAAGGCTGCTCCTTCTGCGGGCTGACATTTCTTTCCAAGTTATTATCTTTCGTATTTTTTTTTAAGGCCGAGAGTTTTCAACCGTAGGTTCAGACCCCAAACATTTGCGAAATGGCACGGGCTGAGCCAAGACCAGGAGCTGGAAGCCTCAGGTTTCCTCCCGGCCTCCGCCCCGGGTGCAGGGAGCACGCCCCTGGCCATCGTGCCCTGCTTTCTCAGGCGCTTGCGGGGAGCTGAGCGGGAAGAGGAGCTGCCATCCGGGATGAGGCAGTGTACGGGCATACTTCCGGAAGTTCGTGGAAAGGGGGGCTAAATGAGGAGTTTACTCCAGTGCCGACCGTGTTTGTAATCCACGCAAAGTTTTGCACAGCATACATTTTAAAAAGATTTAGTTACGATTTATTTGTTTTTATTTAAAAGGCAGAGTTAGAGAGCCGGGAGGAGACAGACAAGAGAGAGATCTTTCGTCTGCTGGTTCACTCCCCAAATGGCCGCAACAGCCGGACCTGAGCCAATCCATAAGCCAGGAGCCAGAAGCTTCTTCCGGGTCTGCCACACTGAGTGCAGGGTCCCAAGAAGACTTGAGCCAACTTCCATCAGCAGGGAGCTGAATCGCAAGTGGAGCAGCTAAGACTTGACCCAGTGCCCATGGGGGATGCTGGCAACCACAGGAGGGGCTTACCTTACCACACACGGTGCGGCCCTGTAACATGCACTCTCCACAGACTTTCTGAAGATCCCCTTACAGGCACACTTCTCAAACTTTTTTTTTCCAGCAAAATCAACTAATCTCTTACTGCCTTTTTCAGGGCCACTGTCCCTATGCGTCTGTCCTCTCGGGAGTCCCTGAGCCCAGGCTTCTGGCCACTGACCCCTCCCCAGTTCCCACCCAGCCAGGCATGGCGGGGGTCCCGGGGTTGTCCCCTTCTGGGAGAGCTCCAGGGTGCCTGTGGTTTCACAGATGGCTCAAGCCCTGCCACAGGCCCCTCCCTTCCGGCTGGCCACGGCCCAGGAGTCCACAACGGCTCGGCACGGGCCACCTGTTGGCAGCATTGGGCCTCGCCAATGCCCATCATTGCGTCTGCATGGCTGGACCGCTCACCCATTTCCCAGGCTGTCCTGTTTGGTGTCCCACAGGGCACTGCCCCTCTTGTGGCCCTCCTCACGCTGCTATTGCACGCCCAGATCTGCAGCCTGACTCCCAAAGCTCTGAGGGGACCGAAGCAAAGCCGCAGGTGCCCTGGGTGTCAGCAGCATCCTGGAGCTGGTCCTGTGTGGAATACCTCCCGCGGCCCTTCCACCCTGGCAGAGAGCTGCAGGTCCCACAGCGCCCACGTGGGGAGCTAGCTTCCCAGCTCTCAGGCTTTGCAACGGCGCAGCACCGGCCGTCGCGCTCACTTGGGCAGTGAACCAGCAGACGGAAGATCTTCCTCTCTGTCTCTTTCCTCTCTGTATATCTGACTTCATAATAAGAATAAATACATCTTTAAAAAAAAATTCCCTTTGCTGAATTAGCCAACACCCCCTCAGGCTTTTCCTACTTCCTTTTGCCTTCCCTCACAAAATGCTAGCAGGGCTGGCTTTCTGTGGGAAGCCACTGCCACCCAGAAGCAGCCTTGCTTTTCCGATCCACAGGGGAGGCACCCCACGGAATGCCACCTCCAGCCAGGCCGTCCCGCTGGGACACTGTCCGTGCCACCTCCTGTCTTCCCTGGGCATGCTTTCAGGATTTTGCAGGAAGCTCCACAAGATGGCATGAATCGCCTCCTGCGAGTGGAACCCCGCAGTGACACGGAGCCCAGGTCTGGGGTCCCTCATGGCACCCTCAGTCCACTGCCCTGCCCGTCTTCACCGTGACCCCCGTGCACAGCTGCCAAGTGGGGTCTGGACACCACACCACACAGACAGCTCAAGGGATACCTGAGGGGCCTTCCGGAAGAAGTGAAGCAGCTGTATGGCCACTCTCCGTGGCGTGTCGGGTTCAGGTGGGCGCTGGTTCCAGCCCTGGCTGCTCCACTTCCAATCCAGATCCCTATTTGTGGTCCTGGGAGAGCCGGAAGTCGCTCCTGGCTATGGACCAGTCCTGGGAAGTGAACCAGCTGACAGAACATCGTCTCTCTCTCCGTTTTACCTGTAAATCTGCGTTTTAAATAAAAACAAGTACATCTTCAACAACAACCTATAACCCGCTCAGGTGACATGTCTCAGAAACCCGGGGGTCGCTGTTCTCCGTTAATAGCTCCACGAGCATCTGAGGTAGTTGCTGTGTTTCACCCCCTTCCCCCCCATTTTCCAGCCCTGGAAATTAAAGCCAAGGACAGCAAAACAAGGCAAAAAACAAAATGCCCAAAAGCTCGTGGAACCAGTCCAGCCAGCAAGCGGCCCAGCGCAGGATCCCAGCAACACTGACCCCAGGGCCCTCTGGGACTCTCAAAGGAACATTCGACAGGAATTCAGGATCGCCGGAAGGAGCCAAGGCGGCTTGGGAACCGCGGTCTCGGCCGGCTGGGCCTCTGGCCATCTCCCGGCCCTGCGGCTGCTCCGGGTGTCCGGCCTCCGGGGCTGACCCGACCTGGGAACCCTGGGACGCCGCTTTTTCTGTACACCTGGCACTCGTGGTCACGCCCCCTTCCGAGAAATCCCCCCAATCGCTAGCCCGCCCAGCGTGATTGACGCGATGTCCGAGCAATGGTCATTGGCCATGGCGGACGGCGGCTCCGCCTCTCCGACGGCCCCACCTCCCTTTCATTCTGTGAAAAGGAAAAAAAAAAAACCCTTCGTCCCGCGCGTCCAATGAGAAGCGGGGCCACCCTGAAGTTCCCGCCTCTTTGGGCGCCGACCCCGCCCCAGGGCCCCAGGGACGCCCGCCCCGGGGGCGGCGGCCGCGGGCCAATCGGGAGGCGCGCCGACCGTGACGGACGGCCCGCGGCCCAATGCGCGGCGCCCGGCGCGCGCGCCGCCCCGCCCCTCCGCGCCGCGCCCCTCCCCCGCCCGCGGCCCGGCGAGTGCGGGCCTGGACGCGGCGGCGGGTCCGGCGGCCTGGGCGGCCTGGGCGGCTCGGGCGGCTCCTCGGGCGGCCCCGGCTCCTCGGGCTCCTCGGGCTCCGCGGGCTCCGCGGGCGGCCCCGGCGGACGTGGGCGCGGCGCGGCGCCCGGCCCGGCTCGCCCTCGCCGGCGGGGCGTCCATGGCCCCCGGGCGCCGGCGGGGCGCGGGCGCGGCCGCGGCCTGAGGGGGGCCATGTCCGGGGTGGTGCGGACCCTCAGCCGCTGCCTGCTGCCGGCCGAGGCCGGGGCCCGCGAGCGCAGGGCGGGCGGCGCGCGCGACGCGGAGCGCGAGGCCCGGCGGCGCAGCCGCGACATCGACGCGCTGCTGGCCCGGGAGCGGCGCGCCGTGCGGCGGCTCGTCAAGATCCTGCTGCTGGGCGCGGGCGAGAGCGGCAAGTCCACCTTCCTCAAGCAGATGCGCATCATCCACGGCCGCGAGTTCGACCAGAAGGCGCTGCTCGAGTTCCGCGACACCATCTTCGACAACATCCTCAAGGTGAGGACGCGCACCTGCGGGCCGGCCGCCGCGGTGGCATCGTTGTTTTTGTTTGCGCGGACCTCCGGGTTCCCTCCCGCCTTCCGCTCGCTTGGCTTGCTTGCTTTTTGTTTTTGTCCCCGGCTCTGTTTGCCCGCGGAGCCCGAGCGCTGGCCGGAGCCTCCCGCCTGCCCTCCCCCGCCCCCCCCTTGGAGAGGAGACGGGGTCCCGGACGGCTGCCAGGGCGCAGGGCGCAGGGCGTTCCCTGGAGCAGGACGTAGGGCGCAGGGCGTGCCCTGGAGCAGGACGCAGGGCGCAAGGCGTTCTCTGGAGCAGGACACGGGACGCGGGGCGCAGGGCGCAGGGCGTGCCCTGGAGCAGGATGCAGGACACGGGGCGCAGGGCGCAAGACGTTCCCTAGAGCAGGACGCGGGACGCAGGGCTCAGGGCGTTCCCTGGAGCAGGACGCGGGGCGTCCCCCGGAGCAGGACGCCGGGCGCAGAGCTGAGCAGGCCTGCCGTAACCTCTGGGACCTCGGGCCACTCCGGGAAGAGAGCCAAGCGCGGGACCCATCACCCCATCTGCCCCAGCTGGGCGCGACAGGGCTCCATCCACCTCCACGCCAGCTGCCAGGGCGCTAAGGGGATCCGGGAGTCACCCCTACTCCGGCCGCCCCTGACCCCATTGGGAATCTGACTTGGGGTGTGTTAAGCCGTCCCCCCGCCCCATGCCTGTAAACATTAACTTTACCGACTTTCTTATCAACAGAAGGATGTTTGGGAAACCACTGTTTTCCTTCCCAGGTTGTTTCGTTTTGTTTTTTACTGGTTGTAGTTCCACGCCGAACTCACTTGGTTTGTTGTGAGTGGTTCAGTAACCGGTTCCAAAGCTGCCTTTGGGTTTAGACACCAGCAGTCCTGCTGCATCCCCAGCTCCGCCATTGCTGTTTGGGTGTGTTTCTTTAGGTCAGCGGCCTGGAGAGCCTCCGGGGACATTTGGGAATATTTGTGTCTGCCTGGAGCTCTGGTGTTCCCAGAACAGGCGCTGTGCAAGGCTGCCGTGGCTCTGGCCCACGGAGCCCACAAGGGTGCGGAGAGGTTAAAATCCAGAAGGCAGGTGGCAGAACTGGGACCCGAACGTGCCCGGCCCCTGTGTGTTTCACATGGAGTCCTGTGCAGTGTGAGTGTTACACGCATGCGATGGGTGCCTGCATCCCATCACACAGCAGCATGACTGGATCCGCTCGACCCCCACCGGGATGCAGGGCACCACATGCTGTCCTCACCCTGCAGACCCCTCTCTCTGACCTTGGCAGCGACTGATCCATTCTCTGTGCTTTTGTTATTGCAAGCATAACATAGAAACTGACCTTTGTCACTGCCCGTGGCCCCTGGGGCTGTGTGTGCCACCCTCCTGTGTTTCAGTACCGTTTGCTGAAAAGCTTAGATTTCTTCCCTTTGTCAATCTGAAGTATTCCACCCGCGTTGGGCTGTGTCTGTGTGGCTGCACACCTGGCACACAGCCTTGGCGGTGTGTCACGGGGCATCTCCGTGGCCTTCCCGGAGCACAGGCCTTGGCGGTGTGTCGCGGGGCATCTCCGTGGCCTTCCTGGAGCACAGGCCTTGGCGGTGGTTGTGGGGCCTCTCCGTGGCCTTCCCGGAGCACAGAGGTCTTCATTTTCTAAAGCAGCCGTGGTTGGTGTCATACCTGCATTTCAGTGTCCCTGGGCTTGTTGCTGGCTGGCGAAGTGCCTGGCGCTTGCACAGTGCTTTGCTGCACGTGGTGGCTCACACAGCCGCCTGCTCAGCTCTGGGCGCCTGTGCCTGGGTGCTCCAAGTTCTGGGGGCTCTGCACTCCTTTCTTGCCTGTAGAGGGTCCGGTGCTGTGCCAGGTCAGAGCGGTGTGCAGGGATCCTGTCCCTCCCCGAGCTGGTCCGGTGCTGTGCCAGGTCAGAGCGGTGTGGACGGATCCTGTCCCTCCCCGAGCTGGTTTGGCGTTTCAGGTGTGTCAGTGTTCTGGACTTTTTCCTTCTAACCAAAAGTGACCGACCTTTTATCACATTCATTTTTTCTGTGGTTCTGCCATTTCCAGTTGCGCTTGTTTGGGCTCGTTAACGTCTCTTCTGCTCGCTGTGCATTCATCTTGTTCGTTTTGTTCTGGTTTCTCGAAGTAGGGACTTGGGCTGTGTACGGAGGCCTTTCTTCCTCGCTAACATGAGCAGCTGAGTGCTGCCCGCCGCACACGGCCTCGGCTGTGTCCGCGGGTCTGCACGTGCTGGGTTTTGGTATTTACTCCAGTTCGTGTCAGTGTTTGCTCTTTTCACAGTGTTGTCTTTGCTGACTAGACTTGGGGAGTTTCTGTGTTTTCGGAGAGTTCCCTGGTTCCTGGAGTGACTCCTGCGCTCAGGGGCTATGCAGTGACACCCCAGCAAATCTGCCGAAAGTGGAATTAAAATGTAAACTTATTTTGGTGTCATGCATTGAAGTCCATGCATTGTTTTCTCATAATATGTATTTTTTAAAAAAGATTTCTTTATTTTTTTGTCTTGCTTTATTAGAAAGTCTGGTTTACAGAAAGATCTTGCATCTAGCGGTTCACTCCCCAAGTGGCCGTAGTGGCCGGAGCTGAGCTGATCTGAAGCCAGGTGCTTCTTTCAGGTCCCCACTTGGGCTAGGGGCCCAAAACTAGGACCATGTTCCATTGTTTTCCCATTACGGCCATGAGCAGGGAGCTGGATGGGAAATGCGGCAGCTGGGACACGGACCAGTGCACCTAGGGGTGCCGACTGTTGGATGTGGCAGATTCACAGCACTGGCCCTATAATATGTGTTTGCCCTGAGTTTTTTGAGGATCTTTTCTCTGTATAACTTCTAAAAACTTTTCATTTTTTAAGATCTACTTATTTGAGAGGCAGAATGTATGAAGAAAATGAAAACAAGAGCGACAGATTTCATGCTCTGGTTCGCTGCACAACCGATGGCCTTGGCCGGAGCCTGGCTGGCCAGCTCTCCTATGTGGCTGTGACGGCCTCGGCCGGAGCCTGGCCGGCCAGCTCTCCCATGTGGCTGTGATGGCCTCAGCTGGGCCAGACGAAGCCAGGAGGCCGGAGCCTGGCCGGCCAGCTCTCCCGGGTGGCTGTGATGGCCTCGGCCGGAGCTGGCCGGCCAGCTCTCCTGTGTGACTCCCTGGATCAAAGGGGAGCAGCCAGCACTCACACCAGCCCTGGCCCATGGGTTCCATTTTCTGAGGTTTGTGTCCCTGTGTGGCTGAGTGCTCCGGAGGTGTCTGCATGTCCTTGCGTGCCTCCAGTCCTGGGGCTGCACTGTGCTGTCTCCCCTTAGTGGGTCTGTCTGGTTCTCTGGTGTGTGAGCTTTGGGGATGTCTGTGCCTTTGGCGTTGCCTCTGCCCCTCGTCGGCTCCGGGGAGTCCCATCCCACAAGTCTACCTTAGACCCTCGCGTGCAGCTCTGTCTGTCCATCATTTTACTTTTCATCTGCCATTGTTGTTGTTTAAGATTTATTTATTTTTATTACAAAGTCAGATATACAGAGAGGAGGAGATACAGAGAGGAAGATCTTCCATTTGATGGTTCACTCCCAAAGCGGCCTCAATGGCTGGAGCTGAACCAATCTGAAGCCAGGAGCCAGGAGCTCTCCTGGGTCTCCCATGCAGGTGCAGGGTCCGAATGCTTTGGGCCGTCCTCCACTGCTTTCCCAGGCTACAAGCAGGGAGCTGGGTGGGAAGCGGGGCCGCTTGGGATTAGAACCGGTGCCCATATAGGATCCCGGCATGTTCAAGGCGAGGACTTTAACCACTACGCTGTCGTGCTGGGCCCCGTTATAACTGATTTGGAATTTTGACAAATTTGAAATTTTGGTTTTCAAATCTGTTACACATGTGCAGAGAGAGATGAAGAAGTATCTTTCATTGATGGGTCGGCTCCCCACGGGCCAGGCTGAAGCCAGGAGCTCCGTCCAGGTCTCCCATGTGGGCGCAGGAGCTTTTCCGGGCATATGTGGCTCCAGGTTAGAGCTAGTGGCCTGGGGAAGGCCGTGTGGGACACCCCGTGAGGCTGTTGGCTTCAGTTATCTGCGAAATGATCCAGGGGACGGAGGAGCCATCTCTCTGTGGCACTCTGTAACTCTCACTTTGAAATAAATAAGTAAGCATTAAAAAAAAATTTTTTTTTCTCTATTGGAAGATCAGGCATGGAGCTGGATGGGAAATGGGGCCGCTGGGATTAGAACTGGCACCCATCTAGGATCCCAGCACGTGAAAGATGAGGGCTTTAGCCACTAGGCCACTGCACCAGGCCCACTCTTATTGTCTCTTTTTACCTGTTGTGCCGATGTTCTGAAATCTCGAGCTTTTTCTGCTGTCGCTTCCCTTCTGGTCAGAGAGCTCCGGCCAGCCATTCATTGCAGGCACGGCTCCTCGCTCTCTCTCATCCTGTCTTTCCCCGTTGCTTGCTCTGCGCTCAGAGCTGGCTGCTGTGTCCTCTTAGTGCCCATCAGCTGCCCGCTGCTGCCCCTGCCTGGCCACACTCCGGCCCCTGCACCTCCTGTGTCTGTGTCCGAGACCACTTCTGCGTGTCATGTATGTTGGCTCAGCTTCCTGTGTCCACGTGGAATCACTGTCAAACTTCCGCCAGGTCTGAAGCGCTTCCAGCCATGCTTGTTTCAAGTCCTCTCGCTATCCTGCCGCCCTTGGGGACTGGCAGCGGGGTTGTTGGCTGTCACATTGCTCCCTGGGTGCCTGAGCCACTGTGGCCTTGATATGTCCCCCACTAGGCCCAGCGCTCTGCCACCTGCTTCGGGGCTGCTGGTCCTGAGTGAGGCTGTGTCCTCCCTGGGCTCACTGATGCTGCATGAGTGGGGACCAGGGATCTTCTCCCCCTCCTTCCAGGCAGAGGATGGGTGAGCCCCCGGGCCTTGCCGAGCTCAGCATCCAGCTCACCTGCTGGAGAGTGTGGGCACTGCCCAGAGGCCCTCTGTGCCTACCACCGTGAGTCCGGTCCTCCC